CACTTGGAAGGAGCCCCGCGACTTGCTCCAACCACCCCCCCACGTTTGCCAATGGCTCACCAACAACTTCCCACCCGACATTTCCGACACCAAAGTCCAGCGATGGATCACCTCCCAGAAAACCAGCAAAGAGAGCAAGCAAGCCCTAAAAAGCTGGTCCAACGACTGCGCAAAATGGGCAACCACACTGGACTCCGACACCAGAGCCCAACTCGAACGAGCCGCTGTGCTATGGGGCATCCCGGTGCGAACCCTATCAAAACTGGGGTCATCGGCCTTGGGCCGCATCCTGGCCGCTGCGAGTCACTTCTACCAGTGACTCTCAACAGCACACCGACAACGACGCACAGCCAGGCAGCACAAATTTTGGCAACACCACTGCTGCCAATTTCTCACTGTCCTCCGTTTCACTCTTCGGTTCTTCCCAACCGATGACGTCACCGCACGTCATTTTTGCTCCTGGCTACTCGCACAGCTTCAGCTACTTGACGTCTGCCATCTCTCCTGTGGTTCCGGCAGACTGAAAGCCCTGCTTACTCGACTTGGCCTGGACAACCCTGCTTCCGATTTCTCTTCTCAGCTTGTCCTTTCAGCGGTTTATCTGAGATTCACCAGCCATCCAAAGTGGCAGACCTTTTTCTACCTCGGAGCCACTCGCACCTCCCTCATGGCACGGGACCACAGCCGACTTCGCAAACTACTCCAAGTTCAGCGACATCATCTGGTCAATGCCGAACTAGCAGTCCGGTGGTGGGCACATTTTGACATTTTCCACCACTACACCTCGGTGCCCATTCACACTGCCGTTCCAGCAACGGACCTATTTGCCACTGAACAGTTCTACATCCAGGAACTGCAACCGTCTCTCAATTTTGGCTTCATCGAGAGACATTTCCGGCCACGCACGGGCTTCACACGCCAATTGGACTTCTCCCAATCCCGGCACATGGGCTTCGCCACCATCTGGCGAAAACGCCGCCGACTACGACTACCCATCGCCCTACAACAGGCCTTCCTGGCCAAGCGCATGAACAACCGCCTGGATTTGTGGCGATTTTTGGGCGATCTTGGCAGCAACACTCTACGACGATTTGATGCCATCCGTTACATACGGAGCAGAGACTTCCCACCCGCCGCTCTCTATGTCCTTCATCGCATAGCCACGCACCTGCCTGAACCACACCACCAGGCATGCCTTTCCGCCATTCGATCCAGTTTACGATTCCGGGGCCTCATTCCACCTGGCCCCTCCAGACCGATGCTTGCACCCTTCCTCGCCCATCCTTCTTTCCGATCCCTGCTTTTAACCCAACTTCGCGGGTTTATTCGATCTACCACTCGCAGCGCTTTACCGTTTCACATGGCACAACCACGCATTGTCTTCAAGGCACATCGGAGACTCTCCAGTGCCTTGTTCTCACATCTCCAGGCAGCAAAAACCTGGAGTCTCGGTGAAACGACCTGCACATGCACCGACCTCGCCCAACGACACCCATCCCTCCCGAAGCATGACGGACACCTTCTTTTCTCCGGTGCAGACACCCATGAGCTGTTCGACTCCGACACTGCCCACATGCTATCCGGATCGATGCGCAACTCCTTCTTTCCTCCACGAGGGGTCTTGATGAGTCGCCTGACCCAGGCATTTCAACACTGGGCCAGGACCAACAACCTACCCGCGCTCGACCCATCAACCCTCACTACTATTGTCGAATTCCATTTCGACCTCCACCTTTCACACACATCACAGTACTTTCTTCACGCCCACGTCCAACGGGCTCTGCATACCCTGGAACCCCTTGTCCGCCATTGCGAAGACCATGCGGACTCCCGACTCATGATCTATTGTCCCGTTCTCTACGGCAAGATGTTGGAAGCCACTTTTGCGGACCCTGCCATTTTCGCCCCTCTGCCGGTCCCTGCCATTGAGATCCACCAACGACTACGAGAAACCATTGTCACCAGATTCCGCGGCCGTTATCCTTGGGCCGTGACTGGATTCGGAAGGCCAGCCAATGCCTACATCCTCCCGAAGAGGAAGAAGAACTGGACCACTGCCCGACCCATCATCAGTTTCATTGGCGCCTTCTTCCGACCCATGCTCGACGCTCTCGCCAAGCTCCTCCACAGCATGGTGACCACGGCTTGCCCTGACGCGTTTTCAGGTGGCGACCTCTTTGAACTCATGCGGTCCTTGCACGAGTTTCTAAGCCTCGGCCACACCCATTTGGACTACCGAAACCAGGACCTTTCCGGTTTCTTCACCTCCATCGACAAAGACCGCTTCTTAGCAGCCTGGCGACTACTGCTAACCTGGTACCGACAACGACAACCACACTCCTCTACCACACACCTCACAGTGGACACACTTGACACCTCTGCCATCACCCGCGTCTACAACGGACGCCGTCGCCGACACAAACCCACACAACGCACCCTGTGGCTCGACGACATCCCCGAGATCATTCAGGCCACCCTTGACATGCAGATCTTCTCTGTCGGCCTTCGTTCATTCAGGCAAACACGTGGGGCACCGATGGGATCCCCCGCGTCCCCAGCTCTCTGTTTGATGGTGATCGCGGTCGCCGAACAATGTTGGACCAACACTCACACCACATCAGGACTTCGCTCCGTTGAAGATACCCTCCTGCTCCGCTACGTGGACAACAGACTCGTGATCGCAACCCCCAGGTGGCTCTCGACTCCGGCAGCCAACATACTGTGCGACGAACACTTCTATGGAGGAGACATCTTCCTGGAAACAGAAGCCGCCCTGGACTTCTTGGGGTTCCGACTGAACCTCACAAGCAGCACCATCTCCTTCATTCCCTCGCATGAGAAGCACAACATGCTCTCCGTAAAGTCAGCCGCACCAATGATACATAAGGAATCTGGATATTATTCCAGACGCACGCTGATCAGCCGAGTTTCCTTTCCTGAATTTCAGCGAGATCACGATCTTGCAATGTTGAAGAGGTTGTACCTCCAACACGGTTTCACCTTACAAAGAGAAGAAAAACCGTCCTTTACGAAACCACACTGGTTTTCTTCTCTGCCTTTGCATCCTGACAGATTTGACCTGATTTTCGTGCCGCAGCTGTTTGACTGTTTGACTAAAATCCGTTGCGGGCATGGACACCAACACAGCACGCCAGCTGCTCCAAGACTTCGAATTCATCCTTGACATTGCCCAACAAGGCATCGCCACCATCCGCGAGTTCACTGAGAGTCCGACCGCCGAACCTGATTCGGCACCGGAGGCCACGCTCAACCCCGCCATTGAGGACCTGACCAACTCACCACCAACACCCCTCCTGGCCCCCCTCGAGGACCTCTTTGAGCCACCTCCTGATGCTCCAGATGAACACCTTCCCACTGATCATGACGAACAATTCCCTGATCATTGGGCCCCGCCCACTCCTCCTCCGTCTTCTCCCGACAAAAAACGAGCTCGCCGCACACGTGATTTGGCCTCCTCACGATCTACGGCATCCAAACCTGCTCGTGGACCAAGCGAAGCTACCACATCGACCAGGACTGATGCCTCTACTGAGGCCGAACCTGAAGCCTCGCAGCCTTGGACTGAGGGAGAGATTGAACTCCTCCGTTCCCTTAAGACCAATTCCAAAGCCAAGTATGTGTGGTCAGTCATCGCCACAAGACTTTCTCGCACAATTGATGCTTGCAAGACTCAATGGGCCTTGCACAAGTGATGTCGCCCCAGTTGGGGCTCCGTGTGTGTGAAGCGTCCTGGAGCACGGACGGAAATTCCACATTGCAGGGGGACACAGCACTTCACTGGGACTGTGTCCAACGAAGCTACCAGTGAAGTGGGATATCCAGCTTGGCCAGCTGGACGTACCTGCCTTTCCTTCTTTTTCCTGACTGTTTCTCTGTCCTGTTCGCTGTTGCTTCCCAGTTTCTGTTCTGCATTGTGATCTGTCAAGCAATTTCAGCAGTTGCAGGTTTTTCCAACCTTTGCATCTCGGCTAGTGAAGCCTCTCGAGATAAGTGTGTGTTCCGTGTGCTTTTGTGCTTGCGAGTGCGTGTGCGCGTGCGCTTGTGCGTGTGCGTGCGGCTGGGCGTGGGCGTGGGTGTGGGTGTGAGTGTGGGTGTGTGAGCTTGTGTTGTGTGTGTGTCTGTATGTTTGCGCGTCTCCTTGCGTGTGTGTGTGTGTGTGTGGGTGTGTCTGCGTGTGTTTGCGTGTGTATGTGCTTGTGTGTTGGTTTGTTTGTTTGAGTTGCTTGCTCGTTTGTTTGCTTCTTTCTTTCTTGCTTTGTTCCTTTCTTGCGTTCTTTATTTTCATATATTTCTTTTCTTGCTTGCTTGCTTGCTTGCTTGCCTGCCTGCCTGCCTGCCTGCCTGCCTGCCTGCCTGTCTGCCTGCCTGCCTGCCTGCTTGCTTGCTTGCTTGCTTGCTTGCTTCTTTGTCTGTGTTCTTGTTTGTTTGTTTGTTTGTTTGCTTGTTTGTTTGCTTGTTTGTTTGTTTGTTTGTTTGTTTGTGGGTTAGTTTGTTTGTTTGTTTGTGGGTTAGTTTGTTTGTTTGTTTGTTTGTTTGTTTGTTTGTTTGTTTGTTTGTTTGTTTGTTTGTTTGTTTGTTTGATTGATTGATTGATTGATTGATTGTTTGTTTGTTTGTGTGTTTGTGTGTTTGTGTGTTTGTGTTTGTTTGTTTGTTTGTTTGTTTGTTTGTTTGCTTGTTTGGTTGTTTGTTTGTTTGTTTGTTTGTTTGTTTGTTTGGTTGTTTGTTTGTTTGTTTGTTTTTGGTTGTTTGTTTGTTTGTTTGTTTGTTTGTTTGTTTGTTTGGTTGGTTGGTTGGTTGGTTGGTTGGTTGCTTGCTTTTGACTGGACCCCCAAAATTGGGTTGAGAATGAGCTTCAAAACACGAGCCACTCCCAAAATTTGGACGTAGGCAGATTCCCTTCGGGCCAGCGGGTCCTTTTGCGAATACCAACCTCTCAGAGGGGGTCCCATCGCGCGGCAAAGGAAACCTTGGAGCTCCTTCTCCCGTGCCATGGACTGCGTGAGCAAGACCTGCCCGAGCGTATGGGGTAAGCCCGACATTCGGGGATTTCCCTAAAAGGGCTTGCCACTGACACAACAAACATAGGGACACCCTCAAGAAGAAATGTTTGTCTCGAACACCTAAGCGGTTTCCCTGCGTTCCTTCAACGCATCCAATAGTTCAAACAAACATCTCCATGGAGACCGTCAGAACCCTCGAAACCCGTTTGCGGCCCGAAAAGCCACAGCTCGAAAAGCCCTGTCTGTTCAGGGTGACATTGAGTCTAAAGTTGGGATCCCTTCGGCTCTCATGACTCTCATGGTGAGTTGACCCATCCGTGGACATCCCGACAGTGACTTACGACTAATATGAGCCATTTGCATTCGAAACGGGTCCAAGCACCACCCCTTGGGCTCTCAGGTTTGTCCCCTTCGATAGGGAATGAACCCGATAAAGAACCCTCCCATGGTTTCCTGAAAGAGGATAGGTTCATGACCAACACCCATGGTGAATCCCAACTAGGCCCTTCTCCCGACGCGTGCTAAAATGGGTAGCACATGCCAATGGCCACCTGAGTCTTTAGCACTGGCCAACTGGCCCAGCGAGGTCAGAGCCACTGTCATTAAATTACGAAGGTTCCCCCCCAACAGCACATGGGGACATCGGCAGTGTTTCTGGGAAACTTGGTGAGGTCTCCAAAATGAACCATACACTGCTAAGCTTGACCGAACCTCATGTCATATGATTAGAAGAATCCGTTGGCATCGGCGCTATTGAGTGGAAACAAGAGGGAAACCGCCCGCAAGCAAAAAGAGGGCCCTCTGTAGAGTAGCCACCATCTCAACGGACAAGAGAGCTTACTTCCGCAAGAGGACATGGGGGCCTGGTCTTAAATCAGATCTTTTGGTGCCAGCCATGCTATGCTCTTCGCAATAGACTACCAGTATGTTCAGTTGAGCGTAGTCGGTACTATCACCCACATGAAGCCAGGTAGTCATCACACCTTCATCACACAACTGCCAAAAACGACCCAAAAGGGCAAATAACATCTTTGGGCTCATCTGGGTATGTGCCAAATAAGGGACCCACAAAAAACATGAATATAGTGGTGATCCGTTTGATTCCCTTTTTCTAAAACCAAAGTCAGCTTCCCTCTGATTGTGGTTTGGATTGGTTGTCTGCCCTTCAAATCCAAATCCAGCCACCCAACCCGAACTGCCAGTTACATACGTCACCTGACAAAGAATGCAAAACCTCCAAACACACTGTACCAGCCCCCTCACAAGCTACGCCTTGGTCTTCTTCAGGTCGCGAACCAGGGAGTACTCCCTCGCCTTCGGGTTTCGGGTGGCATCAAAATGTGGGGATTTGGACCCCAGGGATTGGTCTTAGTTTTCCTTTACAGCAATCCAAAGAAGGGTGTCCTCGCGTTTGTTGGTACTTATGTGTATATATATACATAGTATATACATATTAAATATTTGTACATACTCATATACTGCTGCGGCCCTGGTGCGCAAACATTGGCTGGTGTCTTCATGATCCCCCCCCCCAAATTTGGTCATTCTTGCAAATTCATGAATACAGTACCCCATGTTCAACGGCTATAGGCTATAGATACTCCTATCAGCTTCCACCCCAAAAGGAAAGTAGTCTTCATGGTGCGGAGGGTAGCATGCAACTCCCCAATGCCGGATGAAACTTGGAGATGAGGGAAAGTCAGCATGAGCAGCGTCGAGAACCCGTTGACTTTTGGTTCTACTAACATGGTCACTAAGGTTCATGCAGTCCTTGCATAGCCCCCATGCAACCAGGTACTGGAACCACCTACCAAAATGGCCAATGTTGTTGTGGGCCTGCTCGCATGGAGCTCACTATCAGTGGCTAAACCAGGCGAGTTCCCAGGGATCGTAAGGCACGGTGTATATATGCAGGTTCCATGTGGAACCGCCTCGCACACAATTCTGTGTTGGCCGCGTTTGGTACGCACGCTCATGTTTGTTTTATTGCCACTCAGTGGGTCTGTGTTTTGTGAGGGGACTCTTTTCAGACTGGCTTAAAACGGAAACCAAAAGTCCGAAATTGACCGGCAAGTGCGATACTCAATGTAGGAGTGAAATTCTCTTGTGGGAACTTCTTGGGCGCAGTTTTGAAGGAAACCGAAAAGGAAACCACCCATGGTGGGTCGCCTCAAACGACAAACCCATGCGAGCCACAGTCAAAACCAATAAGGTTCCCCCAAGAGTACATGGGAATTCTGCGAGTCCCCTCCCTCCGAAATGAAACCTCCCGGTTTGCTTGTTTGCTCGCTGTTTGGCGGTAAAATAGATAGCCCCTTGTCAATTGCTCGCCAAAAGTCAGCCGGTGATGTATCCTTGAGCAACCTGGACATCTGCCTCAGCTTCCTTCAGCTGCTGCTTCTGCTCCTGCACTTCCTGATTGCCAGACACAGTCTGGCCCAAGGTGGATTCCCAGAATGGTGCAAGTGAATCTAAGCGCCAGTTCCTGGAAAATTGCGGTGAATTGTAGGGATTCCCGTGTTCCCTTACTTGCGACATTTAGGGCATCCAGGGTAGTTTCAACCTAAAGGCATCACCCCAGTCACCTTAAACTGGCGAAAACTCGGCCTTTCAAGAATGATGCGACCTGAAATGGCCACTCGTGAAGCAGGCTACCTTCTTCTTACAATCATGAAAGTGAGGGACCCACCCGGACCCACCCTTTTAACATGATGGTTACAATGATGACATTTACTGATGCAAATTCAAGACCGACCTTCGGCCTGCAAACTGGGGACAGGTCACCGGCGCCAGAAAGGTTCGAGCATTGGCGCCTAAATATTAGCTTCTTCTACTGACCCGCTTGGGGGCCCTGGCTAGCGTACAAATGGCTCCAGGAACAGACATGTTGGCAGCAGCAGAAATTAGACGTGTTGTGGCTGCATGTGCATCATGTTCAAAGTTTTCTTTAAGCGAGCCAGGTGGTGCTTGCTAGATGGACAGCTTCTCAACGCCGCCTACGCTAGTACTCTTGTTCTGGTTTTGAGGACTTGTTTGACGGTTCGCATGCCTTCAAGGCCCAACATTAAAAAAAAAAATGGAGGCTGCGGTTTGACCATGAGCGCGTTTGGTGAGTGACTGATCTTTACAACCGTTCTTTGTCATTGTGCGTCTTTGCTCGCTGGTGAAAATCCGTCCGGTGAATTGGCTCAATAAAGAACATGACAACACACTTGGGTTTGTGTCCAAACTCCAACCCGGGCAACAAACCTTTCTGGTTGCTTCCCCATTGACCCGTCCTTCTCCACTCCCTCCAAGATGTTCTTCCGCGTGGCCGCCAACTCCTTTCCCCCCGGGCTCGGAGGCGATTCGGCACGAAGGCCGTTGCCATGTGGCTGCCCCCGTGCTAAACTGACAGGTGGGCCATCGTACTCGGTTCAAGGACCCAAAAGGCCATCCGCTTCCCTTGGAACCCTTAAGTTGTCTCTTCACCGTGGCATATGCGACGTTTGCGAAGGAGTCATCACGTGGAATCGACGGGCTACCCACAGCCAAAGGGCAAATATATGCACCTATGTCTGGCGATATGTTCCCTGTGAAGCTTCATCTATCCAGGTGTTGACTGTGACTGATTGGACCGTCTGGGCCTGTCTCACAGAAAAACATCCACGAGCGTTCGGAGATGTCAAAGGCCCGATGTTTCCATGGCCTGGTACTCTTTCAAGGTGCCCTGCGTGTGTTCCAACCTTGGTCCATCGTGTACGTCAGCGGGATGTGATCATTCCAAAAACCCTTGCAATTTCCTGAGCAAGGTTGGGGAACCCAAAGGATGTTGTTGAAGCCATCTTTGTGGTGGTTTACACATGCTGAAACAAGGATACAAAAAAATACCATCTACCCTCTTTTCCATTCATCCTGGAAGTGGACAAGGTTCCCCTAAAACGAAAAGCGTCTTCCACAACCCTCCGATCGTCAGCTTCCATGACAGGAACCGCGTCACGGGCCCCGCGCTGCTTCTGCAGCTCCGTCACCCGCTGCTTCTCATCCTCGTTGCGGGGCGTGCGCTAGGGCCATTTTGGGGGGAACCAGAAGGAACCCCAAAGAAGGGAATCACATAACCCCAGTTTGTTTTATCACAGGTCCCCAAGGGTGTGTGTCTTGTTCAAGAAAGCTGGCTGTTTTTATTGTTTCTTCAGGGAAACACGGTTTATTTCTTTTTGAGGGGGGTTCCCCCAAAATGCGACCTCGGCGCTAACCTCAGAGTGCCTCCTCTCCGTTTGAGGTCCAACACATTGGCAGCAAAATGCAGGGCAACACATTGCTCGCTGGTCTTCTGGTGTTTTTGCCGGCACCAAAGCTGCACATCAAGAAAGTGACAAGCTCGTTGAAGGCACAGCATCTGGCCTGTGTTTGGGCCGTTTGCTCAATTCGACCTGCCACAATCTGGATGAACGCATCACTGTACAATCAATCCGCTGGGAACAACGCCTTAGTGAACGACTTCCCTGCCAAGCTCAAAAGCCAAATCCGCGAGCCCGAGCCCTTCAACCATTTTAGAGTGAAAGACTCCAGCGCGGAAAAGCCATGCGGGCCGCATACATGGGCCTCAAGCTCTCACTTCTTCGGCGCGGCATTCTTGAAGGCCTCCACCCAGTTGATTGCCCAGAAGTCCTGGGCCAGGTTCTCCTTGCAGATGTACTCGTAGGGCATGTAGAAATAGCCCTTGTCGCCCCAATCCTCGCCCCACGAGTTGCGGACAATGAAGCACTGCTGGAAGTCGTCGTAGCCGACAGCGCACACGGCATGGCCACCCCTTGCGCGGTCGCCGGGCTGGGGCATCACCATCTTGCCCGTCCTGGCCACATCACCCGAGAAGCTGGTCAGGACAGTAAAGCCAAAGACGAAGGGATAACCATGCTTGATGCAGGCCTTCATCTGGTCCAAATCTTGGGCCACGTGGGCGTAGGCCTTCACCTTGCACTTCTGGGCCACATCGTAGCAGCTCTTGTCCGGCTGCTTCTTGAAGAAGTCTTTTGTGTCATCGTAGTGCCACAACTTCTCCGGGCAAACACCCAACTTCTCCATAACCTTGATGCCGTCACGAAGCATGGCACCGGCATCTTGGTTGACGCTGCCCTCACAGTACCTCTCGTTGTAGTAGATGAAAAGCCGCGAAGGGGTGAAGTCCGCGAAGTCCGCATGGTTCTCTACCGTCTGCTTGTGAAGGGTGAAGTGGTAGGCCGCTGCCAAGGCGTTTGCCGTACAGCTGCCCAAGTGCCCTTGATTGAAGATTTTGAAGCCGCCGTTGAGCGGCCTCAAATCACAAATCTCCTTCTTACCTTCGACCTTCTTCTGGATCTCCTTGGGGGCTTCCTTGCTGGGAAAGGTCATGTGGAGGTCGCGATGATCCGGAATGTCACGGATCCAGCCCATCTTCTCTGTCGTGGTTAGATCCAGCCCATTCACGCTTGCATGCCTGCCCAGGGTTGCCCCCGCACCATGTTGGGGACAGGTTTGGCATCATTGAAACGGACTCCCGGGATTGATAAATCAATGAGTCCTGGTGATTGGACTGGGGTTCTTTTGGGGGGAGCACTCCCAAAAGAAAATCTGCCAGACTGATTCATCCGGGTCGACATTACCTCCAAGAGAAAGCATTACGCCTTGGGGGCATCGCATACATTTGTTCCAGTCAGGTCCGGAAAGGACCCAGCCTGCCCAGGTCCATCTGGATCTCATTCTTGGTGTCCGCCTTGCTCTCGCAACCACCCATGGCTGGAAGATCTTGAAACTGGTTTCGTGGCACGAAGTGAAGCACTAGCTTTTGAGCCTTGGTCATTGGTGCAGGTCTTCACCTCTGCGCCAAGGACACCTATCCCAATTAATAAGGGAGTGACCCCTCCAAACCTATGAATTGATCCCACGAAAAGGCTTCTCAAAATGATGAACGGGGGTCGCTATTTTGAGAAGCTTGATGGGAACCCCGGATTCATAAACCCCTGACTTATTTTCTTATCTTTTACCGCGATGTGCCCGTTTAGCTGGGGTTCGGGGTAGGGCCCCAGGCTGTGAGCTCGTGGGTAGTGCTCACCAGCGAGCTCCTCAGTTCGACGTGGAGCTCCGAGGTTTTTTTCCAAAACCTCTAAGTTGCTCGATTTTTCCAACTCTCACCCAGAAAGCACAACAAAAATAAGGAGGAAACGGCTGGTGCTGAGAAAAAAACAGTCTGAACCCACAAATCCGGATCTGCCCTTGAAAGCCACCCAAAGCCCGAGACATGTGGAGGTTCTGACATGATCTGAGCATCTATGAATTACATGACGCGGGACCCAGGAGAGCGAACAGAGGTCGATGACTCTTTGAGATGCTGGGGATCTAGTGCTCCAGCTTTGCAGAGTCACCACCTCAAATTGCTGATTGTTTTCAGCGGATGTGTGCAAATGGGGAGGGGTCTGTTTTGGACTTGGTACCGCGTTTGGGGTTGTTACGGTTAGAAGGGAACCAGCAGGGAACCACCCAAGCAACCCACTTGGGGAGGTCCGTTTCTATCTGGAAACACCTGGAGACAAGCCGCGGTCGTCGTCCGAGCCGTCCCTTTCGCGGACCTCCAAATGGCAGCTTAAAGGGAACTCCCGCAAAAGTAACTTTGAAAACCCCTCAAACTGTCACTTAAAGAGACCCAGAATTGAGAAGCCCACCTGGACACTCCTGGAAAAATCCTCACTCTTAAAATAGGGGATCCCCCCACACCAAATGGCTGTTTTCCATTCAGACCTCCCCAATGTCCATTGAAAACAACCCCAAATGAGTACCCCCCAAATGAGTACCCACAGGTCAGACTCTGCCCTCCGGACAAACTCGAGCGCCCGACGAGGAGTCGACCAGAAGCTCCCGGACCTTCTTGGCCTTCGCCGTGTGCTTTGCAACAAGCCCCAAGAAGACCCACTTCACCCAGTGACCATGGGTGATACAACCTGACAGACAGGCGAAGAGAAGACGCAAAGTATCCTCATGCCGGCTGCATTTCTGGGATGGTTCTGAGCATCCTATGTTCTCATGGGTGCTGGGCCTGGACCCTGAAGGCTGGCAGGGCAAAGCACTACAGAGTGATCGGCCAAGGGGGCCTGTCCATGCTGTGATTTGGGTGGAGTAGATATGTTTCTCTGGCACCTTGGCTCCCTCAATATCCTTGGCCATGCGTGTTGTTGCCGCAGACCACATTTACAACCCGCCCCTGTTAAGTCTTCGCTGGCGGAAGCCATGTCTTGGTTCCGGTGCAGGTGCCATGGCAGGTGCCCTCGCTTCTTTTCGCTGGAGATGGCTTGAGGCTGGCCGGAGGCGATTAGGGGGGGTCCGGGCTGAATTCGGCTATACTGCCCGGCATCCTCACAGCAATTTGAGGCGGTGGTGTTTAATGGCTCGTCTATGAAGACTGGAGTTACACCAAGTGGTTGGGGCTCGGAAAAAAGAGTCCAGGTCCACTTGTATTCAAAGACAGCAAGGACTCTTGAATATGCGGCATGGGCAGTGCTAAAGTCGCAGAATGATTCAGACTGTTCAAAGACCACCCAACCCAAGTCAGCCAAACCCACTCAGCCCAGCCCACCCAGCCCACCTCTGATTCGGCTTCCCTGGCACGCTTGCCTTCCATAATGCCTTTCTTGTCCAGGCTCCTCAGCATGTAGCACAAGCAAAGAACAAGAGGCAGGCGCACTGCTTGGTTTCTACTCGGTGCTGCTTCCAGCAAGGTTCCCCAACAAATCAACCACATGTGTCATAACAAATGTTCAATATACCGTATATACCCAACGTGCAGCCTTTGAAACGACCCTGTCTCGCTTCCTTCCCCAGCCCCTTTTGCGTTTCTGCGAAAACCGGGGCAACGCTAAGGGCCATGGCTTGCTCTCTTTGAAGAGCGCGTTCTTCTGGTCCTGGATGGCCTCGATCCTCAGCTCGTTGACTCGTTGCTAGCACCGGTTTGTTCCAACGTCTCTCCATGGCCCCAAATTGCCTCAGCAGGGATGTGGACCTCCAAGATGGGGTTCCCTTTTGATTTCTCTTTAAACCCCAAAACAAGGAGAGGGGGGGTCTGTCCGTTAAACAAAAAAACTGGGAACCCGGGCTCTGCGTGAGCCTTGGCCAGGTCCTGCTTCAGAAGGGTGGTCCAGCGCTTCTCCTCCTCGAGTGCGTCCCACAAGTCGTGTTGGAACCCAATGAATATCCTGTGGGTGGCTCGTCTTCTTTGCAGGGCCTGCCCTTTTTGCTTGGTTTTAACTAGGCAAACTGCACAAACCTCAATTTGGGGGTCTAACAAAAGACAACACCCCAATTGCTTTTTGGGCGTGATTGTTGACTGGGGACCCTCCGGACATCATTTAAGAGGATTCATGACCAACCATTTGGGAGGATATTCCTCATTAAGTGTCATAACCATACAGAAAACGACTCCTGGGGAATGTTCGCGTCATAGGCACAAAAATGGGCCTAGCCCAATTCAGCAATTCAGGGCTCATGAACGTTTCTCTGGGCAAACTATTCCCATTTGGAAATAAAGAAATCCCGAGGTAACGACCTTCATGGGCAAGCTCGTTTTCGGAGGACCCCACAAATGGACTTTGGCATTCCTTTTGCTTTCCCCCAAACCAAGATGAAAAGGGTTCCGAGACTCACCGTTTGAACCAACGTCAGAGCAGCAAGCCTGAAAAAATCGAGCCACACCCAATTTGGGCTTGTCTCAACATAGGTGAGCCTCTTGGTCTCCTTTTGAAACCCTCCAAAAAAAGGAATCAAAGTGAGCGCCCGTTTCGCTGGGGGACCGGGCCGCCAGCTGCTTGGCGAACTGCTCGACCTTCAAAGTCTCCTCCTTCAGTTTGGCCTGTCGCGGACGCGACTCTCCCGGGCGAGCCGAAGCCGCACGGGGCAATTGCAAGGGGCGGTGCGAAGGACGCGGGTTTGAAACCAGAGGGACTTAAGAACAAGTTGTGGGTTCTAAAACAAAATCAAAGGCCTAAACACCTACTCGTGTTTAAAATGTCAAAGCTGGCGGTGGAACCCTTTTCAAAAAATGGGGGGGGGGGAGAAGGCGGGGGCGTGAAATACCGATTGCTGAAAACAACCCCGACTGGTTGGCAATTGAGGTTTGTCTCAAAGCCTGAAAGGGTTCCAGAAAAACCCGATAAACTGACTTCGTTCTGCCTAGCTATTTGAAGCCCAACAAAGCATGATCACAACCTTACGGTGGGAAAACGGAAAAGCTGCACCCAAATCACTGAAGGGCTGCCCCGCTGACAGTTTGGGAGCTGATCAGCCAGTAGGCCCCGCATGGCAACACGTGCTTCTCTGTTGCTTTGACGCCGCCGCCACCGTCTCTCGCTATTCACCAGAGGTAGATTGCTTGCAAATGCTGAACCTGATCAGTTTGCCAGCATTGCGTGGTAGTGAGTAGCCTCCTCAGGAAAGCACCGTCCGCGAGGCCTTGAACACTTCCCCGTGTTTGATTCTCAAAATAGGGGAGCTCTAAAATCAGCTGGTGTCCTTGCGTCCCGTCTGAAACACCCGCAAATGGATGGTGGCCTCAAACAAACACAACCCGCATGGCCGACGTGCCTCTTCCTCCCGGCAGCGCTGCTCTAATGTCATGGTGACCTCAACCTCGTTGCTCCCGTTCGGCAGGGTTTAGGTGTGTCTTTCTTTGAGGGTACCTCTTTATAAAGTTGAACACCTGGAAGATGGCGGGGTTTACTTTTGACTTTGCTTTGAACCAAACTGAAAAGGGCACCCTCCAAAAAGACACAAACCCGCTTTGTCCCTGAAGTGAAACCAGAAGGAAACCGGATTGGGTTAGAGAGTAAGGAAGTTGGCCAAGTTTCTTCAGGTGGACTTTTGTTGTAAGGGAAACCGAAGCAAATCCTGAACCAAGTGTCTTCTTTTGGTCTTTTTCATCACCTGAGACCAACTGGCGCTCAGCTTCCAGCGCCCTCCTGGTACTTTTTCTCGACTCTCTTGACGTCCTTCCAGTCAGAAGTCACACGCACGTCATGCGCAGTGACAACACTCATGCGAAATCTAGTCAGCAAAAAATAAATGACAAAGCCTCTGGATGATTTGTCAATCCCAGCGCTTCAGCGACCACTATGGCCGGGAACCAGGAGAAACCACCATTCAAAGCCTCCGCGAAGTCTGGCCAGTGGATATGGGCAACCTCTAATGACCTTGGAAATGGTCGGGCAGGGGAAAATGCGTCTCGTCCTGGGAATGCTGCTCAACTTCACGCTGGAGCACAATGTTCTTTCGCTCCTCGGCAATGCCAACCGTCACTGCCAAGCCCCTGACCGGCACGGTGCGCTTTGTGCCAACACCGCGCGCCCGTGTGGCTCCAAAAGTATGCACTAGGGGGCCGTCCAGGGTTCCAAACTTTCCTCTTTGAACATCAGCCCAAAAGGACGCTCGCCTTAGATTGTCCCAAAAGGTGATTTCTAAAATTGCCAAAAGGAGACATATAGGAAAGCCTGCAGCACCTTGCGTTGCACACAACTCTCGTCTGCGCATGCTGCATGATGGATGCCCACCTTTTTTTGGGATGCAGCAATTTTGCAGAGACTTGCAGAACGAGCGCGCACATGAACTGGGCCCAACCAAGGCGGGGGTGGGGGGGGCTTCAAGACCTAAGTGTTCGTCATGAACACAAAACGATCGTGCGCGTCAAGTTCATGATTTGGGTGTCTTGAGGGTACCCTTTTGGCGGTTGTAAGGGGACACAAAAGGAAAAGCACCAAATTGAGGGTTCCCGACTTTGAGAACCGATTTGTCCCATGCAGCATGGGCACCCAGCACCGAACATGGATCCCCCAAACGCTTCTGGTTGCCGTTCAAACCAACCAAAGACCCCAACGGCTGGGAACCCAAAAAAAAGAGAAAAAAAAGCTTGAGAACCCCAAATTGGCTACTGGCCTGAGCCTCCCGCCGCGATTGCCTTTTTTCTGACCACGTCCCCCTCCATTGTCTGAAGGCAGGCAAGCGTTCAAGCGAATCGAAGGCAGGCAAGCGTTGGGCCTGCATGAAGGGGTTCTTCAAATGGTGGACCCTATTTGAGAAACACCCTGTTGAGCATGATATTTGCATGATATTTTCAAAGACATGCCCCTTTGCCAATATGGAAGTGGACAATGGGCCTTTTCAAAAACATGGGTGTCGTCTTCCAAAGCAATTCCGTACATACAGCATGAGTCCTTACTCAATAGATTGATGATATTGTCACAGTCATGGTGAAGCTATCAGGCGAATCGATGACCATCATGACCAGGTGGGCGATATTGATTGGCCTTCAGCTGGATTTGGAAATGAAATTCTGCATTCGAACGCGCGGTCAGAGCCAATGTAAACTGTGCAAAAACCTGGGAGCTTTTTTGGGCTGTTTCTGAAAGCAAACCCGCCAGTTTCTTTCTGTGGGCGGGGGGGGGGGGGCGCTAGTTTTGAGCCAAACCCGGCCATCGCTTGCCGCAGCTGGGCCTCCAGATCGTGGATCCGGGCTTGAAGTTGTCGGACCTGAGGCTCGTTCCCGAATCTAGCCGGTTCTGAGGCTTCCCTTGGGTTCCCTTGCGTTTTCCAGGGCTGATGGCGCCTTTGGTTCCCAGACTCCAATCTGGGTATGTGCTTGTTTCCAAATAGGGGAACCCCAACATTGGTGGTTTGCTTCCCTTTGGCTTCCCTTTAAACCAACCCCAAATCATGACAGAGGCACCCTCAAATTGCGCTCGCTCATGGCAAGTTCACATGGCCGCCCCTGAACCTTTCTGCCGTCTGCTTCAGCATGACCATATTGTCGTCAAGCAAACGGATTTAGGCCTTACTGCAACCCTCATGAAACCGGCCCACCCATAAAGCCAGGTGGGTTCTTAAACGGACCCTCCTTTTGGCTGGTATTTCGGGGAGGCGGAGGGGGGGGGGGACCAAAATGCTCCTCGCGTGCCCCTTGAAATCATCCAAACAAAAAGGTACCACAAAAAACGACACTCCCATTTTGAGAAAAACGACACGGTACCGCCTTCTCCATGGGCCCAGTCAGGTCTTTGGGCGCTGGCAGTCTCGCTCCGCTCGGCCAGCGCCTTCCTTTCCTCCTGCAGGGCCTCGGATCTTGAGGCAGAGATTCCCCGTTGGTTCGGGGACCCCAAAATGGAGGGTTTCGAAAAACGGGTATCCCAAGTATTCCACCAGAAAGATAGACATTTGAAAAGACAACTGGCATCCCTTTGATACAACCCACAAAAGGTAAAGACATAACCGCTTGCCACGGATCTGCCGAGTAACTCGAAAAGGCAAGCGCGCCCTCGAAAAAGGGAACACGCGGACTAAGAGGAAACAAGCGCACTTGATATCATTGTTGGGCCGTGTCCGCAGTTTGTGTGTTCCGGTGTACAAGAGAGCTGAATTTTAACCCAACCACTTTTTCGACACGAGCCAAAAACGTGCAAATCTGCCAACTGCTCGACTTCCCTGGCTGGCATCAGCAGAGTAAGCTTTGGGTGCGGATTTATTTTGGGATTTTTTGTTTATTTATTCGAATGTTTTGGGATTTGTTTTTTCGTTTTCCGTCCGGGCCAGTAAAATGTCGTATTTTACAGCATTTTCTCGCGAAATTGACGCATTTTACACTAGCCCGTCAACATCCCCAGCATTGTTTTCAACATCCCCGCATGTCCGACCAACATCCCTAGCATCACCAACAAATCGTGGGTAACAAAATGGTTGACGGGGTCAAACAGATGATGATTCAAATACGAGGGCATTTCAATCCCTGCAAAAAAAACTAAAAAGTAGCGGGGGGGTTGGGGGGGGGTCGGCAGCCCCCCCCCATGATGTTCGCAGAAGTGATGATTCGAATAGGGGTGCAATTAAGTCTCTGCAAAAGTCTAAAAAGTAGCGAGCGGGGGTTGGGGGGGCTGCCGCCCCCCCCATGATGTTCGAAGAATTGATGATTCAACTAGGGGTGCAATTAAATCTCTGTAGAAAATCTAAAACATGGCGGGGGGGTTGGGGGGGGCGGTAGCCCCCTAAGAAGTGATGATTCAAGTAGGGGTGCAATGATTCAAGAAAGGGTGTGATAGGATTGAAAAGGCAGCGGGAGGGTTGGCGGGGGTGGCTTCCCCTATGATGTTCGAAGAAATGCATACATACAAACATACATGGATTACACAGATTACCTAAAATGTCGTATTTTGCAGCATTTTCTCGCAATTGGACGCTCGAAAAAGTGATGATTCAAATAGCCGTGCAATTCAATCTCTGCAAGAAATCTAAAAAGTAACGGGGGGGAGGCGGCAACCCCCCCCCATGATGGTTGAAGAAGTGTTGATTCAAATAGGGGTGCAAGAACTCTGCAAACAATGTAAACAGTAGCGGGTGGGTGGGGGGGCGTTCCCCCCCCATGATGTTCGAAGATTAGATTATTCAAATAGGATGGTGGTGATGCTGATGATGCGGGAAGCCAAATCCAAAACACCAATGAAAGGGTGCAAAAGCCAAAAAGCCCGGAGAGGAACTGGGAAAGCAAAGGATGCGAAAAGCCAAAGCTGCCAAAAGCCGCAAAGCCGCAACGAAGAGGAACTGGGAATGCAGAGGATGCGAAAAGCCAAAGCCAAAAAGCCCACCAAAAGCCGCATAAACCAGCAAAAAGCCGAAAAGCCCAAGAAGCCAAGAAGCCAAAAGCGGAAGAAAACAAAACGGGGAAAAAAACACCTAAAATAAATGCCCCTCCGTAAGCTTTAAGCGCCAGCCCTTCAATCCAGCTATTTGGCTATAAACTTTACTGCGAAACATCCTTGCATATGTGACGTGGTCATGACTCCTCATGTGGGGCATGGTACTAGTAGTTCAAAACACCCAGTCGATGACCATCTCATACCATCTCTACCCACCCAAGTATACATGTCTTTTGACCACAGCACATACGGTTGGTGGACATAGACACAAATCCCCGTGTGCACCAAAGGATCCCTATTCAAAATCGAATCCTAGCCATGTCGTCCAACCAGTGGGTTCCCGGCCAATGCAGCCATGCGAGCTTTGTTCTCCAGGCCGTTTTGAGCTCCCTCCAGCTCCTGGCCGAGAAACTTCCATTCTCTCCAGGCCTTCTTTCCGGCAGAACCGCTGCTTGGAAAAGAGCGCCGGGTGACAAGAATGGGAAATCAACCCCTGGAAGCTTTGGGCGAGTGTGCCTACCGAAGACCGCTGTGCAGAAGGCAGAGACACCAAAATCAGAAAATAAACCGCCTGCGACCTATATGAGCAGGACAAAACCATGGAACGACAGGTTGCAACTGGTGACCAGGGTCTCTCCTGATCCTTCAGCCTTGTTGCCACGAGCTCCTCATAGAGCTGCGTGAAGCTTCCCTGTCCGAGGGGGAGTGTCTTTGTTCGAGGCTTCAAGTTGGAGCATTTGGGGATCCAACCACTGAGGGGTCCCTAGGGAAGTTCAGAGCCATAGTTTTTTAGGCATCCTCCAAACATGGTTTGGCGCACAAGCCTATTGTCGAAACGATTTGGGTCAACCCAAGATGCAATTGTGTTGTTGAACTTTAAGTTAAAGACACTCTTGGGTGTGCCAATGATGGCTGTTCTGCCGCAAGCGTGCAACGGTCCTACCCAAAACAAGGTAAAACTGCTCTACTTGGATGTTACGCGCTGTGCGAGCTAGCAGCCTAACACAAGGATCTTGCACGCACCTAGACGCTAAAATGCTGGCTCGCAATCTCGCATCGAGCTGGGCTCTTTTCTTATTCCATAAGGGCAAAAAGCCACCGCACTCGGCAACTGTCTGCCAGCCTCAGAGACCTGAAGACTGTCCTGGGAAGTTCGCTCACATGTTGGAAGAAGCTGATCGCTGCACTGCACAAGCCCAACAAGATTTGCTTCAAAATGAAGGAACCCGAAAAAGGGGGTTCATATGGATTCCCAAACAGCGTATTAGCTGCCAACCGCAAAAGTTCCTAAAAAAATATGGCTCAAATGAAAAGGGGAGGGAGGGATCGCAACAGCTGGACAGAGTATGAGAAGAGCCAATGCCTGCCAAGGAAGCCACAACCGGACAAACCCGACTCCTCCGGCTTGCTTTCAAACCCAAGCCAAAAGGAAACCAACCATTTTTAGGGTCCCCTGAAACATCTTTACATCGGCTCCTTCACCAGTTTCAGCTCCTTCTGCAAGCCTGGGCCAGCCGAACAGACGTGCTTCCCAGCAAATGGCAGCAAATGGGTGTCATTTTAATTATGGTACCCTGTTTGAGGCCCTTTTTGAACGGAAACGACTTGAAAACCAAACACAGCAGACCCACAAAAAAGCGGCCAACTCCAGGTCAGGGAGGGAGTCCTCATGGTCGGGAAATTCTATGGGAACCATCCCTGCAAATCCCATGCGTATACTGTGGATCAAACGGACTGGGCCTTCCTTTTGAGAGTCGAGAGACGGGGATCCATCAGATCCGGTGAAAGGGTTCTAAAAAATGGGGATCCGGATTCTAAAATTCGCGGTTTTTCGGCTTCGCAAAAGGGGCTCCGAATCTCACTTTGAGAAACTGCAACTCTTGGGCCCACTGACCACGGGGATTTGACCAAAAGCCTTCGCAATTTATCGCTTACGGGTGCGCGGCGTCTGATGGTCATCCGCTCGCTGAAGATCTCTGACTGCGTTGCCTGAGAGGCAGGAAAGCGGCGTGTGATGGGTTTGTCTCAAAGCAGGGAACTTCTTTGATGATGGTTTGAAAGGGACAACGGGGGGGGCCGTTTTGAGATAACTGAAAAACGGACACCAACTCAAGGGGCTTAACCCGTTTTGGAGAACACGTTTGAAATTGCCGGACAAAGTGCGTGCTTCACTGTCTTGACTAGCAAAAAAAACAGAGAGGGGTTTCCGGGTGCTGGTTTCCCAACTGATGTTTCCCTTTTGTGCTTCTTGGAAACTGCCTCGGTTGTAGACTCTTGGGAATTTACACGCGTTTGCAGGTTTCCCCCTTTGTCGTTTTCGTGTGCAACCTGCCAAATCCCTGGCGGCCATGAGCGGAAACATGGTGCCTCCTTTCCGGCGCTCGCCTTTCGGATTAAAAGGGACGAATGGAAAATCAGGAAACCGCCCAGTTTCCCCCGTTCTTCACCCTTTCCCCCCCCCCGTTTTGCGTTGCCCCCCGCGTTCCCAATGCCCCCCCCCCCGCCCCGAAAGTTCGGCCGGGCTCCGGGGCTCCGGGGCTCCGGGGCTCCGGGCTCGGAGCTCGCCCTTGAAGCGCTTGGCCGCAGCGCTGGGGTCCCGCTCCAGCTCACTGCGCAGGCGGCTTTGGGTCGGTTCCCTCAAGGGGCGGTTCTCCCAAAGCGCCGGTTCCCCCAATTTAGCATACAAGTAGACGTCAGCAAAGTACTGGGACAGTTGAATCCGGATGGCAAGACGATTCACTGCGAAAGAAAAGTGCACGCTGGACGTGCACAAGTTTACTTGCGAGTGCAAACATGCCGAAGAGCTGCCTTGATTGACATTCAGAGCATTGCGGCTGCAAAGGCTTGCAGAATCCCGGCCAATGCGGCGGCTGTTGTGCAAACGCCAATCAAAGGATGACCTAGATGCCCAACCTCGTCAAGCAGGGTTCCCTGATCGCTCTTAACCATCACCCGAAGGACAAATCACAATTGGGCATTCATGGCTTTCCAAAAAGCGGTGGTGATTCAACCAAAAGGGTAAGTCTAGGAAAACCGGCAAACCCAAAAAGCCGTGATCGTTCAACACCTTTTGCTTTGGCCAGGAGCCAGGCTCGTTGGTGAAGCCGGTCATGGACTCCCAGCGGTTCCCCAGCATGGCAATCTGCGAGCGAGCGAACGATATGCCCGGCCAAAGGCCTTCTGCTTGTTTTCGGAGGGCGGCGGGGGAGAGTTGCTTGGCAGGGAAACCGGGGGGAACGGAAACCACATGACACCGCCATTTCGGTTTCCCGCTTGTCTTCCTTGAAACGAGAAGACAAAGGTACCCTCAAAAACGAGAAAGCCCATTTGCAGCTTGGCAAGTCGCTGCGGCAAGGATCTGGAATACCAAAGTTTCCTCAAGGCGATCCTAGATAGGGAATCTTCGCCATACTTCACAAGGGACCCTCGTGCCAGCAGGCACGTGTTTTGGCGGGTGGATTTCAGAGGTGGGTTTGAAGGGATCTGCTCTCTGCTAGCTCAGGCTGCAGATCAAGCCAGCTGGCAGGAACGGTGTTGTTTTGGTAACCCTTCACAACAACCCAAGAAGCATACTCTAAAAAACACTCACATTGCACAGCGTTTACTCAAGCATCCTCCAAACTGTCCACTCTGGGCGGCCCTGCCCTGCTCCGGTAGTCCGCGAGCTTCCGCTCGGAATAGGCCAACCTCCAGAACTAGGCTCAGGTGGTATCCCCAACCAAGATTCTGGAACCACTCCAAACCACTCTGGAGCACTTTGTTGGCAGAGACTGAACTCTGGTGATGCAGGATCTGTCTCGAGAAAGCGACGCCCAGCTGTTTTGTTGGTTGCTGCGTCACACTATCCTTTTACCTTCACCCAACAAAGGGTGGCAATAGGAGGCCTGGGCTTTCCTTGGACAAGCCTGTGATGCCCAAATAAAGCCTCAAGGGTTTAATAAGTGATAGCCCCCTAGCTACAACCTGGCGCAGGAATTTGCGCACTAGTAGTTTTAAGCCTACGACTGCTGAACCAAACGTGTAGTTGCGCTTTGTTGACATCTCATTTTCTGCCCAAAAAAACGGCACGTGATGCTGCCACTCGAACCCACCCCCTTCGTGGGGGGGGATTGGATGGATGCTTCGGCATGGGTGACCAATTGCTTGCTCTGCACAGCTGCGCCGGAATTGGCAGCATTCCATGGGACGTGGATTCCTTCGTACTTCTGTCTTACCGATCAGGCCCGGCTGCTGGGAGTGCGCTGAGAGCGTCCCAGACGCCAATGCATCTGGCATAGAGCGGGATCAATGCATGGTATAGTCCGAGCAACGTGTCTGACCTATTTCACCTTGCGGCGCTCTCTTTTCGGCACTAGTTGCTTGCCCAAAACTGCGTGGCCTGTTCCTATGCAATACAACGGGCAACTGAAACACAGCTGCTAAGCATGTGCGTGTGCGAAGGAGAATGTGAAACCACCCCTAAAGAAAGGACGCACACACCCATGAAGTTCGGCTGGGCTTTCCGGCTTAGAGCTCGCCTCCCTCGCCAAGGTCTGCGCCTCATCTCCCGCCTCCTCGATGCAAGAGGGCACCGACGGAACCCGAGACATGAAGTCAGGGGGAAACTGATACAGGGTAATTACCCTTTTTTCAACAGGTGTAAAAGGAACATCGGCAACTGCAAGGTGATGTTTAAAACCATCAAACGGGGATTTTTGCGGGAACCCTGCAAGGTTCAAAGTCGGGGTCCTTTGTGGGCGCAAAGTGGATGTTGGGTTTGTCTCAAAGAACCCGAACAATTGTGGGGGTCCCTTTAGGTTAAACCCAAAGGCTCCTTTTGAAAAATCCAAGGGTATCCTCAAAGGCATGCCCACTTCTTACGGTTGAAGCACCTTCAAACATGGCTGCGAAAGGATCACATGTCTAATGTTCACCATGCGGTTGCGCAATTCACTCATGTGTGCCTATTCAAGTGATCACCATTGGCTGAGTGGGGGAGTGCAAATCCCGATTCCCTACCCATTCCTGCAACATGAGACCAACAGAGATGTCACCTCATCTACAGGTAATCTTTAAAAGCAAAAGTAGGAATTATTTTGGAGCAGTTGAGGCAAACCAATAGGGTGAGAAAAGCACGGGTCAATGGACGCCCATGCATCTGGCGCGTAGATCAGACAAACAATGTGAATCAATCCCCCTATTGAGTCGCAAAAGTTCTGATCTACGCGCCGGCGGCTAGCAAAGAAAACTCACCGTTCCTCAATCCTTATCAAGGATGTCACATTGCAGCCAAGCATAGGTGGCCCCAACACATGCCTTTGTTCCCTAGTCTCTCTTGAAAAAACAACAAACCCGAAAAGGGTGCCAACTCCGGGGCAATTCGGGGAAACATGTTTTGGCTATATAGTGGTTATATTGCGTTAAGCCCCTGGGCTTGTCTTGGAAATCCCATTAAAACCACTTCAAAAGGGGTACCCTCAAAAGAAACGACACACATGGACAACAAACGCCACCTGTGGGCCGTAGACAGCCCAAGCGCCTGCAGCGAGCTCACCTGCTTCTGGAGCTTCCCTGCCTGAAGCAATGAAGAATTCGAATCGGCGACTCCTAACGTCGGGAATTGCATGTATAGAATGGTAATGTGCATGCGTGTGTTTCTGTATAACAAATGTATTTGTATCTATATGTATACGTACAATTGTAGCTAGATATGTAGATATGTACATATGTACATATGTACATATACATATCGACATATATGCAGACGTGTAGATATGAAAATATGTAGATATGCAGGCATGTGGATATGTGGACATGTGGATGTGTACGTGTGTACATGTATATACATGTATATATATATATATATATATCATATATATATATATATATATATATATATATATTATGGTCATACTGTGCTACCTCCTTGAGTGAGCACGACCATTGGGGGGGGGGTCGGGGGGGCCAAGGAAGACTGGATCATATGTATATATATATATATATATATGTCTACACGTGTACATGTATTTGTATATGTGTGTGCACGTGTAAAATTTAGATATGTGCTCACACATGCCCACATATGGCGTGGATGTCAAACTTCGAAGGTCTCAGTCTGTTTTGCTGGCTGGGTTTGTATGCGACCGGGTGTCTCGCGGGTACGCCTTTCTTTCGCGCCCTGTTGGGGGTCGCCTTCAATGGAAGCCAAGAAAAACTCGCCAACTGACAGTCTAAGAAGCAGCTCCCAAAGGTGATCTTGAGAATCTCCCAAAGGTGATCTTGAGAATCTCAACTGGTCCCTTCAATGGGCCGCGGATGTAGCGATACGGAGGCTGGGTTGTAGCGCGAAGCCAAAACCACCAAACTCGGACAAAGGGTCCACGCAAATCTCTCCCTTGCGCTCGAGTGAAGCGCAACCAGGATGTGAATTCATGACCCTATTGAAAGCAGCGACGTTGGTAGAAAAATGGTGCGCTTTGGGGTTGACCATGTAGAACCCACCAAACAAAAAGGGAACAGGGTGCCGCAGAACTGCCCGGGGCTTGCAAGCATCCTGCGTTGGAACTGGCCTGCGTTTGCCAAAGTCAAATTCAAACAGTCTTCTTGGCTGTGAGAACACACCGGCCTCTCTTTGTGCCCGGAACTCAGTGCTCTTGGCCGCAGTCAACCTTGGTCGTAGCAAACACCACAAATCCTGTGGGGAATGCTGAGGGGCCCCCTGAATTTTGACGAGTGGAATGAGTGGAATGAGCTGTTGCCTTCTGATCGAAAAAATTAGCAGGGCTCCTTGAACGTCCCTGCACAAAAGGGCCCAGCTCAAAATGGCCAAAGATGTGATAGTTGAATCTCAAGAGAATGGGGGGCATCCAGCTGGCCCTTCAAAACGCCGGCAAAGAGCAGGGCGGACTCCGTCAGATTCGCATCCGAAAACACCCAAACCTTGAGAGACAGTCCGCACAACACTGAAACAAATTGACCTGCCATCAGGCCGAGACTGCGGAGCAGGCAAACGCGCCAGAAGGCACCCTGGACCCTCCTGCTCCCCAAATTAACCTGGAACTCCAAACAATGGGGTGGATTGAAATGAAGTCCCGGACCCTTGGAGGGAAGGGCGTGTCATTCCCTTTCCCTCGAAAGCCAATCGCGCCGAATCGGACTTTGGCCCCTGCTCGAACTGATACTTCCGAACCTCAGGCAAAGAAGAGGGTAAAGCTCAAGGATAATGAAATTACATGCCCCTATAAACGTGCCCCACCAGATATCCCCCTTGAACTGAAGTGATGGCCTATCCACAACTAGAATATATATATATGTATATTATATATATATATACATGTGTATATCAAACCGAGGTCACCCGCCTGTATACGAGATGCATCGAGGGCATACAATTACAAGTGTATATATGGGACGTGTGCCCCGATGACACATCGTGGTTACCCTTGACACACAGCTGGGTTTTTCCCGCCTTTGAAAGGGCAATACCAAAAAAGGGTCCCTAATTTCGACAACCCAAGATTCACGTCAACCAACCACTTTAGGTGGTTCCAACTCTGAAATTGGCCATGTGAGTTTGCCAAACTTGGACCCCCCATGCTAATTTCCGCTTGGCGCCCGAAAGCCATCCGAAATGGAGGCCGTGGCCAAGGACCGCAGCAGCAACTCAGGATCATCGATGTCATCCGGCAGCAGGTCCTCTCTCCTTCGCATGTTGGCTTGTGGGAATGGAGACTTGGACCGCAAACTGGCGGGCTTTTTCCTTTTGGGGCCCCTGTAAACCTGAATAAAGGGCACCGAGCCTCAAAGAAAACCCTATGGAAGATACCCACAAACATGGGGATGGTGAAGGCCGTCCCATAAAGAGTTCGGGTGACCTGGATCCCACTGACCCTGTGGGTCTCCAACAGACTTGGGGATTGCCCCATGGAAGCTGCGGATGGCGGCACAGTTTGGGTTTTGCTCTTGGGCCTTGGCCGCCTTGACTAAAATGAAAAAACCCACAAAATGCAAATGCTTACAAGGTTTGCCAATTCAACTGCTAGGCTCCACTGCCTCAATTTTGACTTTGTCTCCTTGCACACATGAGTTGTGGGTTCAAACCCTCAAGCAGCTGGGTGCCGGACCCCCCGGAGAACTTTTTCACCGTGTACCGGACGATATGCGCGGTGAGAGCGGGTGGCAACTGAGCACATTCGAGCGGGGAACGCGGGTTGCGAGTTGCGAGCGGGTTGCGGACTTCTCGGACTGTGGAAAGAAGCAGGATTGTAGGTCCACTTTAGTAAGACCTCCGCAAAATTACCCGAGCCAAAATGCCCCCAGCCATGCTTGATGGTAACCCCCCCCCCCAACAACAAAAATGTTACCCCTGCCCCCTGCCCATCAATCGTCCAGCAGGTCAGACCAAAGAGCAAAGACAGAAGCCAACTTCTTGAATCATCAAAATTCTGACATCACCGCATTTTGCTGCGGATTCCGAAATGATTGCTCTTCGGCACCAAACCTTAGCTAGACCCTGGGAATGGAACTTCCGTTGCCCAACTGAGTTCGGGACATCGTCCTCCGTTTCTACCTGCGACGACATCCTGGCTGCATCAAATAACGACGCGGCAGGGTTGGCTGACATTGGATTACACAACAGGACCCTGGTCCCCTTTACAGAACCGAAAGGAGGTTGCCTAAATGATGGTAGTGTCAACATGTTTCAACCAGGGGTTGACCGAACCCGGAAAGATTATCTTCATAGATGACGGATGGGTGGAGATGACATGATGACATGAAACAGCTTGTCTGAGCAAAGTTTAGGACCAAACACGCTCATCGTTAGGAACACTACCCTCCCCAAATCAAAGCAACAAAACAGCCTCCCAAAGCTTCACATGATTTCGGGGCCCCACGTTGTGGACCATTTGCCTCTAGGGCCCCTCTCCCAAAAACCCACAGCAACATGATTTCGGGGTTTCCTGATGGGAACCCAGGCTTGCGGGTCCGCAAAACAGTCGACTCTCAGCTTGGCAGGCCTCTAGGCCATCGCCGGACTACATCTTCCGAGCTACGGAGGGCACGGCGTGGGGTCGAAAGGACTGGAACTTCATGGGGGCTTTGAAACCAAAGTACCTCGTGCTCGTAAAACATTGGGTCGCGGGTCATGGTTTGATGGTTTAGCTCCTTGGCAGATCCAAGCTTGGGTCAAACAATGGGCTCCTGACTCAAGAGGCCATCATCCGACTGCACGTTTGGCAAGTAAGGGCCAGATTCTACTCTCTGGCCCGTGAAACAGCTGCGGAGACGTTTCGAGTAAAGGTTCGGAGTGCACAAGCATGTACAAGCCAAGGGTCGGCAAAGGAAGCGGTCAAGACTAACGTACATATGACTTGGTTTCAACCCCTCGGCGAGCACAAGCCTCACCATTGCAAGACTCAAGATCCAGCTTCCTCGCAAGTTGTCACCTCTCGATGCAGGAAACATCCAACTCCCAAGTATCCTTTCTACATTTATCATTAACAGCGAGAGCAAACCAATTGAGTAGTGAGTGCAAGACTTCCCACGATGAATTTGGTGTATCTGCTTTTGTGGTCTCACCTTTACGTCTCTGGCCGGCTTGACAAGCGAATCGAAGCGGCAGTGGCGCCGGCTTCCTTCACGACTTCAGACTCCCAGCCAGGATCGAATCCGGAGCAAAACGACCTTGCCTGCCTGCCTGCCTGCCTGCCTACCTACCTGCCGCCCGCCCTCCCGCCCGCCCGCCCGCCCGCCCGCCCGCCTGCCTGCCTGCCTGCCTGCCCAGTTGCTCTTGGCCAAGCTCCCTCCCTCCACCGGCCGAGCGAGCGAGCGACCGGTGCCTCACTGCGGGCCCCCGGGCCAGACACCAGCCCCAACTCATCTCTCTGCTGGTAGACCTGAAGAAAGCCAGAGCAAATAGATCCATCCGCAATCCTTTGGTGGAAAATACCCCCTCCAACATCACTCAACTCGGCCGCATGCAATTTGCGCGCTCAGCCCGCCTTGAAGGAGTTCCCCAGCAGCACCACTCCGGCCAATGAGGGATCTGCCTCAAGGATTTTTCCTCTCGTTGATTGGAAGCCGAGTTGATCACAGCGAAGCCAAAGCCCTAGCGTGACCTTTTAAACTTCAGGTGACCTTTTGTCGGTCAAAGCCCTTTTAACGTAATTGTGTTTGAAACAAGTACCAGTGGCGCATTCTTTATTGGCGTACCAGTGACATCCATAAGGCCCGCGCCTCGTCCACCTTTTGCAGGACCATCTCAGCAGTGAATCCGGCAGCCGCAGTCAAAAGGGTGTTTCTAAATAACGGTTTTGGTTGGTATTTCAATAAAAAAAAAAAAAAAAAAAAAAAAAAAAAAAAACGGAAACCAACCATTTTAGGATACCACCATGTTGAGAAACACCCAAAGGAGCATTCGGCAAAATGAATTGGACATGGGTCCAAAATGGTGATGAATTTACATCCTTGATGCAGTGTGTTCCAACCGAACCTCCCTCCGCTCGCCCCAGTGCAACAGCGCGCCTCGTACAAGGCCCGGTCACAGTGCGGCATGAAGAGCACCAGCCTCGCCAGTTGTTTAGTTTCGATTTCCCATGGGTGTGTCTCAAAAACAGGGGAAACCACCAAATGCAAATTTGTTTCCTGTTGGTTTCCTAAAACCAAGCCAAAAAGAGTCCCGTCGAAAAAGGTCACACCCGCATTCAGCAGGTGTTCAACCTTGTTCCCGATAAGTCCAGTGATGTCAGCCTCACCTCTAATTCGTGTACATCTACGGCTAAATTTGACAGGATTTCCATCTAAAGGAGACTGACTCCCTTTTTGGGCCAAAAGGTCATGGTCAAAAAGCCCAAAGGGGTATGTAGGAGCCTTGGTCAATTTCCAGCAGGTGTTCTATGCTATGGGATTTTTGTGAGTAGCCGCCGTTTCCGAATAGTATTTGATGAGTATGACCCACGTCATACCCCTTACCAGAGATATAATGGCAACCAGCAACACAACATATTTCACAACCTTGGCCCAAACTGCAAGTGGCTCAACACACATCAAATTACAAACCAGAGTGTAGTTGCGGATAGTAAATATGCCGGCTGCTCGATAAGCAGGCCGTCAGGGCTGCCGCAACTGGCGACGTTGAAAAATTTGCTGCCATCCCCAGCCCCTCTCTGTGCTCGTCCTGCAACGCCCTGCCTCCCAGTAGCAGAGTTGAGACCCTGTGGCCAAAAACGGAGTCACGCACAGTGCCAGTTGCTCCGTGGAGGGAGTGAAGCAACGGCCCGCAACATGCCAATGATGCTGTAGAAGTAGCAACAAACAAGCGCAGAAGCAGAGTGGCCACTGGCAACACGGGTAGTGGTCATGATTGTTCCCCAGCCCTTGGAAGTTTTGGGATTGCTGACATGCAGCGATTCACAAGAATGGCGGGTGAATCCTTGTGCTGCCAAGTTCTGCAGAAAAGACAAAGAAGATCAAATAGGGATGCTCTCTTGTACAAGTTTATGGTCAGGATGTTGTGTATGACATACGCGCTTTGATGCGACTTATGTCCTGGGCGGATAGATGTCACCCAACAAAAAGGCAAGTCGCCAAAAAGATATGTCAAAGCCTTTGATCATACACCCGGTTCTGTGACTGATACGAGCCTTTGATGCTTTCTGAGCCCCAAGTTTCGATGTTGACAAGCGAGCAGGAGAAGAAGCATTCAGGAATCAGCGCCAAGCTTTGACGCCCTCAACATCAAGTGGGGTTTCAAGGGATTCAATGGCCCGACAGCTAACCAATGAAGAAAAACGGCCCGTCAGTAAAAGCTTTTTGGGTGGCGCCCGCGCCAGACGAGTTCCAGAAGCTCTTTGAGACCTGAACTCATGAAACTACAGACCTCAAGATTGACGAGCGTCCATGGGGCTTATTCTGGCCACCTGCCATTGCCGAGATGTTTGCTCACAGTTCTCCAGTTTAGAAAGCAGACAAGGAACAAAGTTTGCCAGCCGGCAGATTCTCCGGTCAGGTTGCTCACCGTGGGAACCTTGCTTGCTCGCTATTTGGAAATGGCAAACGCCTTTTGGAAAGCTTCTAAAAGAAAAAACGGTAGGGCAATCAAAAGGAAACAAAGGAAAAAGACGGAGTCTAATCAAAATCCCACTATTGAGAAGCAGCCGGAGGAACAACTTTGAGAGTAGAGAGAGAAGCATTCACCGAAGCAGAGATCCGCCATCCCCCCCCCCTCCCCCGCATGGGCAACCTCTTTCTTTAGGATATTGGTTTGTTGGGTTTGGGCCCGTAGAAATGGGGGGTTGTGCCAAAATCGGGAGTTGGACCCAAACCAGTGTGGGTTTCCATTTGGTGTTCCTTTACAAGCGCGCATTGTCAAGTTCCTTGTTGGCACAGTATCTTCAAAAGGAGTCCGGCACCTTCCCCCCCCGGCGGCCGCGCCGCCACTGCAAAGCCCAGCTCACCCCCGACGGCTGCGTCGGCTGCGCGCCTCGGCAATTTGTTTGCCAAAGGATAAGTGTTGATAAGACTTTAAGCAACAAAGGAAGCCTGAAAAAAAACACTTCTTGTTGGAATATAAAGGAGTCAGTTAGAACATGAAGGTACAGGTTACATTCTCCCTGCGCAATGCGTAGGGACTCAAAAACCCGTGCCCGCCCTGTAACCTGAGCGGCCAGCATCTGTGGATCCTCAACGCGGCGCGATCCAGACACTCCGGATGTGAGGGCCCACCCCTCAATGAATCATAGGCCCTGGGAAGGTGTCAGGACTGCTGGCAGAGCTGCGGTGAACAGGGGGTGCTGGTGTATTGCAATGGCACGCTTATGTGGTGTGCTTGGGGTGTGCATGTATGTTTTAGTACCCACGCAAAACCCACCCTCCAATGAATGTTCATGGTTTTTGCAGCATATGTGTGTATATATATATATACACACACATACAAACAAAATCACTATATGTATAAATTGTCATATGTATATATATATATATATGTATCACTTTGTGTGTATGTGTTGGGGAACGTCAACTGCCAAACCGAGCATACCGATGAAAGCATGAAGACATGCCATGCACACGCTTATACTCTGGCAAAGAAACAAGCATGAAAACAAGCGAAGAGGGCACGAACAAGTATGAGAAAAGGCACACAACTGCAAAATATCCAAGCGCACTCGCACACATACGGACACGGAAACACACACACACACACACACAGACTCACACACGTCACACAAGCACGTCACACAAGCACAAACACAAGCACGAAGGTGCACAAAGGTGCACAAAGGTGCACAATGGTGCGCAGGCGCGTACACACACACAATGACGAACACGCACAAACAAAGGCACAAACAGATACATGCGGGCGCACACTCACAGGGGCACAAGCAAAGACAAACAAACACATGCACACATCCACACCCTACACACATCACAAGTGAGCATGCACATCACAACAGGCACACATGCACAGATAAGCAGGCAGACAAATGCAAAATCATATGGGATGCACAAACAGAGAAGTATAAAGGTGATGGTCGCATGATGGTCTTCATGGCGCGCTTTCCTTGACTTCAAAAAAACTTGTTTAAACCACTTCCAAGGGGCCTGAGTCGCAATCAAAACCTGGTACTAAAATGGTCTACCCAGAACCATGTACAGGATTAAGAAGGCGGCCGCAGCTATTTATGGCTGGGATCGTCCCTTGCTAACCTTCATCTACCCGGGTTTTGATTGTGGCTCTCCTGTCTATGGAAGCCATATGAGCCAAGGTCCTTTAGGGTTTTCCTTTAGGCTCCCTTTCAAGAAATCCAACAAAGACTCCCCGGTGTTTTTTGGAGGAACCCCGTGGCTGGAAATTCCGACGAAACAACAACAGGGACCATTTCAGCCCCCAAACGGGTGCCAAAATAGGACTCCAGAAGTTGGTGGTACCTTTCGGAATTCCTGTGAAAACTCCCTAGGGTACCCAAATTACCCTCCATCACACGCCCACCCCTCGGCCCCTGGGCCGAAAGGAACAAAAAAAAAGACGATTGGCGTGTCGCATGGGGCCCCTGGCCGCCCAGGACCGCTGGGA